GTTCACTCATGAACTCACTTTGCTGTAACGGTAATCTTAGAAATATTAAGATACAAAACCTGCCGTTTTAATTGTTTGGAGTTAGTAAACTTAGCAAATAATAATTAATGTCGCTTTATATGACTACATTAATCGCTCTAATAACAAGGGGAAGATTTGTTGTTTGGTTCGTCAAAAATAAAGATGGGAATTACCAGGTAAGCAAACTTAAGTCTTAATTTGGTTTTGACTAGTTAGTTACCGTTAGGTTGCAGCATTACTGTTTGGATGTTAACAAGCACTGCACATACCCCGCTTCTAACAAAGCGTCGATTAGAGGGGAGACGCCAGTCGAACCTCAAAGCTGTAAAAGCCTTACTGAACGTAGGTTTTAAAACTATGTACATCAAATGTAGGCTAATTTTATGATTATTTCTTATGAGAGGTTCCTACTTCTTTCTTCTTCTCACCAACTTAAGCGAGCCCGTTGTTACCGTCTGAGGGCACAATATTTGTACCGGGATTATTATCCTGTATATCAGAGGATCAACCAACTTGGCTAGCATTCATCCACTTTTTTCTGGGCGCTTTGCTTGTTACAGGTCAACATGCTGATTTTTTTAGGGGCATAGTGCCGTAATTGTGTTTATTCCAGCCTCTGTCAAGTTCAATAATGTATCTTGTATGCAAATACACACGTTTCCTGCTACATAAATAATGTCTGATTGATCGTAGGAATTGAGAACTTTTCTTTATTTTTCTCCCATTCTTTTCTTGGGCACGCGATTTCTCAACGTCAAACCATGCATTCAAGAGCACATCGGGGCCCATCATATCCTTTTAAATATTTGACGACTCGACGAAGTCTGTCATGATATAGAGTAGGCCTATCCATCACCTACTGTCGTTAACTTGATGTTTTTGACAACATAGTGCACCACAAAGAATGAGAGGTGTCACGACGAGGGGTCTAGCGGTCGGCCCGGCTGGCCCCATGTCAGGCCCGCGGTTCAAGGTACCGTGCTTTTCCACCGTCGCGCTCTAACTCGCTGTCCAAACCGCCACTGCTTAGCAAGCGGCCAGGGTTGAAAGCGATCACTTCGCCAACCAGTGAGCTAGCACACGCCTCAATAAATCACACCTCCAGTATATAAGACCCGAGCGTGTTGTACTGATTTATTCATACTGCCCGACGCTTACTCTGTGTGCTTGATTTGGAGGCTGAAAAGGGCGGGACTAGTTAGGAGAACGCAATATGAGTCATCCCAATATGAGGGCGCGAGATTTCTGTTTCCCCCTCTTGTTAATGTTGTTTTTTGTCTGAGAAACGTTATTGCTTTCATTCTTGATTTGAGGACATGGATTACTTTCATTCGTACAGGGTTTTTAATTAGGTTTTCCAATGCAGTTTGTCAGACAATGGAGGAAATATTCCTTGTGGGTTCAACTCACAGTTAAGGAAGGAGGTAGAAAGGAATCGTGGGGATTGGACGGTCATTTCAGAATAGATCAACTTAACTACCATGATTGGTAACCGTATTCTGTACCTCGGTTATTGTTTGATTTTAGTGAAAAGATAATGAAATAAGAAAACGGGATGTCAAAATGTTCAAATTGTGTCAGTACTTATTCATTTGAAAGTTGGTTTAAATTGACCGATATGATTGTCAATTCGCCAGTTAGTGTTCCTTACTATTGCTATAATACCAATTTTTCAATTTTAAATAGAACAGGGTTTTAAGGCTTTCAGTTTCAGAACAAAACCCCAATGTTTTTAAGATTAAACCAACTTTAGATGAGTTGATGGGATGACTTAGAATAAGTGACTTAACTCTGCATTGGAAAATGTGAGTCTCTTTTGTAGGTATTTGTTTATTACATTTTAATACATTTAGGTGCATACATTTAGAATAGTTTGATTTAAACGTGTGAATAGTTCGCACAAAACTCCAGTTACATCATAATAATATTGTGTGTATATATATAATGCGTACTGGTGCTCACCATCTACACTCTAAAGACCCTCTTAGCTCATTAGAAAGTATTCAGTTCGATGCCTTTCTGGGTACAAACGGCGAATCAAGCACAACAAACATCTCTTCCCTCCCTAGTACCTATTTTGTATTCCTTGGTGGAAGGATACATCGCTGGTCCACATTTGCAGCTTTTACGCGAGAAGCACACCATGACAACTAACTGCTTAAATTTTTGCCTTCTTGTCAGATGGCAAGTCATGAAACAAAAGTGCGTCTGTCCCTGCTGGCTTCACTAGGGACGTGAGCCCCAAGATCCATAGCTTGAATCGATGGGAGCAACAGCTGTCTGGGTGGGCCACAATGACCCTAGCTTTGCCCCCTTGCCCGCCCGGTCACCCTCCCCGAACCACTTTACAGCTTCCTCGGTAGCAGGCGGTGTAGACCCCTTGGAGCCCCCCAAGCCAGCCACGCAGTACCGGTACGTGTACTGACTACGCGCTGAGCAACGTTGTAATCACATTATTGCCTTGTGGTGCTGCAGCCTATCGCAGGCTTCAAGCGACAATCAACCGGCTTTACCAGTTCAATTCCTTGACTTCCATCCTCAAGTGCAACTCCTCGATGATATTTTTAGGGTGGTCCACACGAAACACGGTCGCTACACTGACAAGAACCGCCGCAGGATGATTCTGTCCCTCGTGTTTTTGAAGTCCTGCCGGTGGAAATTGCCTGGGATATGAAAAACCTCCCCGAGTAATCAGAATGCTGTTATTATCCTGGGTCTGACATGCCGCTGGGATATGGGGAAGAAGGTAAGGGAATCTCCCGGGTCTCTCATCACAGTTCATGCTTCGATGACAATGACACAGCTGCATGCCCAGGCTTATTATTGCAAGAGGATGCATAGTGACATATAACATCATAGCACTTATTTCTTGCGGCACCACTTTTTTCTCTCTTGATCTTACAAACTTTAAAACTTAAATTTTAAAAGGCTGGATTTTTACTGCTTGGCGATTCACTCACAAGCCCTAATGGGGTTATTCTGTCCGCGCAAAGACAGGGGTATTACTGTCACCATGAGTCCATGATTGATTTGGCCAACACCGGTTCCTGAGAATGTTTTCACACAAAGAAATGCAAGCATGAATAACAGGCAGGGGAGAGGAACAACCCCCAGTCATTTTTCCAACTTCTTTGCGTGCGTAATTATGCGTCAATGGTTGATTCCGGCTTTTTTGTCGTTTTCCTTGTCCCAACTGATTATTTTTGGTCAATCATGTTCAAACGATGCTCATGGTTTGACATATTTGTGCTGATCTTTTTGGGGTGTAAATGCTTAGGAATAGAGGCAAGCTGAATGCTAAGGGCTGTCATTTGTGTGATACATTGTCATTATTTGTCCGACATAAGTTCTGCGAGTTAGACACAATACCTTCTAGGAACTAGAACTGTATAATATTCAAGGTAAGAAACAAGCGATGATAAACCTCTTTCCTATGTTCTCTGTTGGGAGATGTTTCTAAAACCCCTTCCAGTTGATGTTGATAAGTCGCGCAGAGGTCAACATTTTTGTAGATATCTGTTCAAATGACTCGACACCATGCAGAAGCAGGGAAGAGAATTACGACAATGTGCTTGTTGTTTGACAGTGTTGAATGTTTAATAATAATCATCACCCACAGAAGAGTTTTGTTTGCCGTCACGGGCCAACACCAGACAGCTAAAATACTTAAAGGTTTAGTATTGCGACACTACCCATAATAATAACGCGAACCAAGGTTATGCAGGCACAGTTCAAACTCAGAGAATGGGAAAGAAGAAATTCTGCAGTCGATGTCCGATCTTGAACTCCCAGCAGGACCAACAGCGTTGGATCCAAGGGCAGTGGCAAACTGGAGACCCCATGGGACCACTTTAACGGGTCCGCTTTAGGACGGGTCTGTCGAGTAGAGTCTCGATTGTACATGTACCACAGGCGTCTATTCCGCCTGTTCACCTGCCGATGGATGCCTAGTGGATCCGTAGATGTGAAGGAAAAACACCAGGAATTTTCATTGGGAATGCGGGTGTGCAAGTATCGTCTTCTTGTGGAACTTTGTGGCGATGCTATTTACTTTCCAAACACAAAAGCGTATGCTTTCTAGACATCTTTATTTAGATAAGGAAAACAGCTGCTTGTTGAAAGACAAAACATAAGACACAACTATATCAGTTAGGACATATAGACCTGATTTTGTATTTCTAACAACGATACTGTGGAGACTGTCGATCTGTACCAGTGTGGGTGGGTGTGTCTGTGTGTGTGTGTGGGGGGGTGTTATCCTATCCATTATTATTTCGTCGACATTTTATAACTAACATATCGAGTAATTAATGTAACCCCGGTGTCTGGTATCTTTCATCTATAACTTCGGCTTCACTTTTTTGCCTTATGAATGATTGTCCCGTGAATCGAATTAGAGTATCTCGCTTTTTTCTCCAATGGACATACAGAAGTTGTACAAGGTTTATCATTAAGTTCATGGACACGGCTTTTAAACATTTTGTGAAATTAAGTTCAATATTTCTACCAAGGCCATTAAATAACACAGCCCTCTTGTAAAAAAAAACTCCTTGTTTAGTCCGTGGCGTGAACCAGTAAATAAAGCAAAAAACTAAAGAAACGCACCGTGTGTTTTCTTTTTGCCCCGTCACAGTGTTTTTGTCATGCCAAGTCCGAAGGAGCTTTTCATTTTGAATTCTTATGCGCAATCCAACGTAACGTTTAGGACGTCCTCGCTATGTGCATGTTTTTCAAAAACAGGATGGCGTAAAATGTTACGTCCTTTTTGGACAGTGTGTAAGGAAGAGAACCTGTTGAAAATCACGACGTGTATTACAACATGTTTTCCTCTCATGAAATGAAACTGTATATTTTAAATTCAAATTCAACAGGATTTACAAGTTCGAAGTTAAAACCCGGGCTCGCTGAAATCCATCCGAGTAGCTTTTCTGCATTTTCCTCCACGGACGCTTCATGCTTTCTTGTAACCTTCTTTGCAGGACCACGAACTCGGAAGATCAAAGCTCGTACATCAATCGCTGATGGAGCCGCCTCGAGGCGGGACGAGAAGCGCCCCCGCACGGCTTTCAGTGCACAACAGCTTCAGCGGCTCAAGCACGAGTTTCAGCAGAGTAACTATCTGACAGAAGAGCGCCGTCGCGGATTGGCGGCAGAGCTCCGTCTGAATGAGTCGCAAATCAAGATCTGGTTTCAGAATAAGCGAGCTAAGATCAAGAAAGCTAACGGGATGCGTAATTCGTTAGCTCTGCAACTGATGAAACAGGGGTTGTACAACCACTCCACTGTTGCTGTTGTAGCGGTCGAAAGTGAAGACAAGTCCAAGTCTACAATGGAGAAGGCCACCAGTTTATCAACGTCGTAATTTGAGCCACAATATATCAAGACCAGTCTTAAAATGGAAAATGATATTGGCTTAAAAGCCAATCTGAACTTAAGGACATTATCCTTTTTCCGACAGCAAAACTTTGAAACACAACTTGCATTATATTTACATAGGATCGTGGTGTAGGAAAATGTTTAGGCTTGAAAGCAAAGTTTTCTTGTCACATCATTCCACTCACATTTCGCTCATATTTCTGAATGTCATCAGGCATTACACGGATCACAACTCACAACCGTCCGGAGTAGATTCCTTCAAGATAACGTCCCAGATAAACGGATTACTTGGACCTGTGTTGTGATCTTGATCGTCGGTCTCGGAAATTGAGTAAAGCCTGTTACATGGCATGATGTCCTTACTGACAAACGAGCTCCAGTAATCAATCTTTCGTTTTCGAGATATCCTTAAGCCTAGATTTGTTTCTACTGCATGTAATTACATACCGGTACAAGGTGTGATATATGGCATGTCGGTGCTAATCCTGGAGAGGTATATTGGAAGGCTGCCCCCAACGTTTGTATTATTATGATGATGCTCAGTCAACGGCTCAAAAGAGGGCGCTACAGCTTCCATTTTGTGCAGAAAGATTATGGCACATTATGTACATGTTGCGCCCTGGCTCAGAGAGCAGAAGTTGTCTTCGCTTTTATTGAAGTAAGCGTATACGGTTGATGGTGCTTTGTCGTTCCGGCAACCACTAAATGCGTGGATGGCATGGAGATTGTGCCAACAATCTTTTTGTGATAAATTGTACATAAAAGGTAAATTATATCATATTGCATGGATTATCACTGACGTAGACGTGTCGTCATGCTCGTAAGAGCAGACCTTATAAGTATCATTAGTAAATACCTTGAATTATAGTCGCTGATTAAGTTTGCCTTCCTTTTGCACAATCATAATTAAACATGCGTCGTCTCTCATAGAGGTGTTATTGAAGACAGTAGACTCTCTACAGTCATCTTCACCAGTAGTTGAGGAACCATCGATTTCTTTTGCTTACTTATTCAAAAGTTCCTTTAACACTTCCAATATGTACAGAAATATTAATTCAACAGATAGATATTTCGAGAAGCTGTTGTCAAAGTTTTGATCCGCGCATATTGTTAACATACATTCATTGAAAATTAATTATTAGGTTATTATTTTGGACGTATATGACTTGTATGGGAAAATAACGGACCAAAAAGTACATGTATATGTAAATGTCTAAATTAAAATGAAAAATGACCTCTTCAAGTCTTTGTATTTTAAGAGCAAAGATTTCTTGTTTCCTTAACTCAAAACGTAAACTCCCGTCATTCGCGTAAACGGAACGTATTATGTTAACGAACGTGTTATCTTGAAACGTTGACGCTATTATTTTGAAAGGACACAATTCCTTGGATTTTTCAAAACTCGACTCGATTTTTGGAGCTCGACCAAGATACCCTGCTCAATGACTTTTGCTGCACCCGAATCTGTTTCCAAGAGCTAGGTCTTGGTCTTCACTCGTTGGAAATATCAGGGGACACGCTGACAGTCTGTAGACGAAGCTGTTGCTCTAGAAGCTTATTGCGTACACTACCTTTAATAGGGTATTGTAAGTTCTTGAGACTATCAGTGCGTCAACTTATAACAGCCAAGATTTCTGCACATATGTAATTATTCAGTACTTCGAGTGACACGACACTGATTGGGAAGTGTTTGACCGCTTTCGGGCGAGGTCTGGTCTGTGTTTATAACCTGTGTTGCGTATGTGCCGTTGAGGGCGTAGTCACGGTGCTTTGCGTTATTGTTTAGTCATGGTTCAGTCAAGTATAATGTAGATGCATGTAGTTGTAACCCACAGTCTTAACCCTAACCTACAAAATACAGGCCCGATATTCACTAACAGTCAGGCGGACATGGTGGAATTGCCAAGTGCTAACGTCAGTCAATTCCTGGTAGCCATTAACCTGTGATTGTTCGCTAATATCATGTCCATGTTTATCTTTCGTGAGGGAAATAAACATACATATAAAATCTGTTTCATAAACAGATATTGTGTAACTACAATCATTCCTTATTGCAACCGGAAATATATACGTTGGATTGCTCACAACGTTGTTTTCATTGGATTTTGTGTTGTAATGGATGCTTGTCCATCGAATATAGAATGTTTAGTGTTTATAAAACAGTCAAACATTGCTTCAGAATTATTAAATGAAAAAGGATTGCAAGGTTTATACAAATTGTCTAATTGCTAAAATGGATGTCAATAAAACATGTACAAAATAAGTGTGAAACGAAAAGTCACTTTGTCATGCTTTGTGCTTTGAATGAACTTTCAATGCTTTGAATGTCACATTTCCACTGGAACAGCCCTCTTCAGGCAAATATCACGCAACGATTACCTTTTTTCAGCTATTCTTTTTTTTTCTCTCACTCAAATCCTAAATGTACGCATGATCCAGCCCGCACGTGATCGAACGCTTGTTGTTACGTCATATACGTTTCTTTCTCTCTTGATTTGAACCCCCCTCCGCGTAGTAAACCAGGAAAATCATTTTCCATCATCGTGAGTAAACCATAGTATACAGTATGGAAAATGTAAATGACTTAGCGCAAGAAAGATCTGAAAGGAAAACTGCATTCACCTACTGCGTTGACACACAATTAGGTGTGACTTCAAGGATTTCTGAGGCAACTTATACCGACTGAATCCCTTAAGATTTTTTTCTTCAACGAGGTCGAACGAAATAGGCCCGGAATGAAACGAACATCCCAGGCGCTACGTGAGATTGTGAAAATGCGGGCATTGTGGCGGCCCCTTGGTAGGGTAAATTGGAATTCCTTGTAGGTGGTTTTGGTTTGACTTCTGAAACGGCCACCATGCTGAGGGCTGTGATGAAAAAAAAGGTCGTCGGTAGCTTTGGTTGATCAGATGGTAGATTCATTTTAAAGCTACAAGTATTAAACTAAACGTAACTTACCATAACATATAATAATAGGAAAATACCGTATTATTATGTTATATTCTCAGGTGTTGGCATTTTTAGCGAAATTATACTTTTAGTGAAATTTACTGTTTTTGTACACTACGTGTTTTTATGAATTACTTTGGGAATCTGCAGCCCCCGACTGTGCGGCCTAATATTAATTTCATATTCCATGAATTCCCTAATGTACGATAATTTATTGATTGAAAATCAATTTTGTGATGACTATATATGAGGAGTATAATCAGAACTATAATTTGCATCATGAATAAACAGTTTTGTCATGTCTCCTTCGAATCTCACAAATGAGGCACTCATCACCAATCTCTTTCCATTGGTTAAATATCACTAACTAGATTGATGGAGTCTTTGTCAACCAGTGCTGCGTCAACATCTTGTTTTCCTTTAGCAACATCTGCCATCCTTGATAAAAGACAACTGGCAGCTGGAACAAGGAGAAGCTCATTTTTAGTTTTTATACATAGGGTAATTGTTAGGAGCCTTCAATGAGCATTGGAGTATGCCCGCTTCTTTTGAAAGAAAAATGTTCAGGATGCCGTATGCCACTTCCCCTCCTTTAAGATTATCCAATGAGCTGCGTATATAATGCACTTAATCACGGCGTGTGCTTCAGACAGCGGATTTAGATGGCAACAAAGGAAATGCGACGTGGGTCAAAAATCGCCCTTTTGTCCATCACGAAAAGATTCTTTTGAGAAGGACTACACGATGGAGTCAGTCTCACGGTCCGTAAAGCGGGCACTGCCTGGGTCTTTCACAGGTGGGCTACACGGACAAACCAATGGGGGTGAACGTCAGTGAAATGCGATTCCATGTGAGATATCAAATACAAAGATTAAGAGGGCAGACGTTCGCTACAGTAAGCAAAGACATCCTCTTTGGATATCAAGTCAGGGTCGAGAGGTGATGATGGTGGGCTGCTTGGGAATTCGAAAACCAGTAAGGGGAACTGTGTGTAATAGCAAAACCGAATGTCAAGACAGTGGAAGTAGGCAAGACTGAAAGAATATTTCAGATACTTGTACATTTGTAAGGCTCTAATATATTAAATCTCTCAAAAAGGTAAATTCTTCATTCCAGGAGAGAAATAAACATTCAAATAAATGAAAGCCTCATTAATCCATGTGAAATGATTTTCCCTAAAAAGTTTACACACACATTTTAAGGATGAGTCCTTCAGCCAATTGTCCGAACTTCGAAAAACAAAATGATAAAATGCATCAATACGAGTATCAAAATTTTGTCTTTTCCCGACATTCCAAAAATAAAAACAGGATGAGCTTAACTACCACAACGATTTTTTTTGGTGATCGAGATAATTATCTAAATTATGTGATTTACATGTTCTATTAGGAATTGCTTGTTGAAACTGTTTCGGTGTGTTTGCATTGTTGTAGCGATTGAATTAGTAGTAATGACCTTTTTTGCATCATAAATAATGGCTCTGAGCAGGTTGTGTTTATACGTGTGTCAAGTAGTTAACAAAAAATCAGCAGAGTATCACTAAACAATTTAAAAATCAATAGACTTCCATGTCCTTGTGTGCTGAAGATATTTGACATTGGAAAACAACACTAAGCAAAAAAAAAAAAAGATATAGAAAATTCAATATCTAACTTGAAAAATACCGCAATATATCTGGAATCCAGCTGAGAAAAAAGAGAGGAAAATACCAGTCCTTTAATTTTGTCAGGCTTTTCCCTCACAGCACCATCCACTCGTCATACCGGCAAAGCACCGGCCAACCACTCCAAACGTGGCCGATGGGAAAGTGGCTCACCGCGGGCTTTTGTGTAAGAGTGTCTCGATGGCCTTGCCACGTTGGGTGCATGGTGGCAGCCTGTCAATGGGACTAATTGGCCGTGGCTTAATGAAGTCTTCCCTGCCAAGATCCAAGAACTCTTATTTGCACCGCGATAATCACTCAAGTTTTAGCGCATCATCACGCACAAGCTCACTTTACGGAGCTGGATGATGTCAATCCTCTTCATTGTGCGATAGAAGGGAAAAGACGGTTGATAGGTACTATTTAAAAACTTAGCTTATTCTTCGCAGGTTAATATACATTATAAGGAACAAGTATTTTCAACTTCAGGCAAGTATTTTAAAATGTACATGTATTGTATTTTAAATTGCCGCAAATCAAGTGTACAATACTGTTATCTGTAATCCTTTAATTTAGAGGGCTTCCTTTCACTTCACTTGTTATCCCATCGATCTAGGTTAGCCTGGCGACACCAATGCAAAACAAGACATGTAAGTCATTGATCTAGTTTGGTTTGAACATGATGAACTAAGCAAGTCTTTGGATCACATTATTCCCCTAAATTCAATCCGATATTGCTACATTTACACCTTTCAAGAGGTAGGTCTTGAAATTTGAGTTTGTGATCGATTACTTTCAATTGATCCAGACATTCCATTCTGGACCAAGATGCTTTAGTATCGTTATATCCAATTTGCCGTATACATTTTAATCTGCTCAACTGACATTCATCCTCTAACAAGACTCAAAATGCAACAGAAGTATAGCTCTGTACAACCTTCGTTAAACATGTACATCTACATGTATTTAGGTCCGCATGTAATTAAGTTTCAAATATAAATGTTTGGACATAATAATCGACATAGTAAATAACACTACCATAATCATGCTTTATGTACAATGCCACCATTATTTTGTAAGAACGATACGGTTTACACAATCTTATCTATACATGAAACAAGGGAGGTCCATGTTTACATCTTAAAAAGTTACCAACTTCACCCACCCCTAAATTAAAAATCTCTCAAATACTGTTTTTCTATTAATCAATAGTTTAGGTCTACACAGTGTTTTTCTATTCTTGATGGCCGACATAAAACTGAAAAAGGAGAAATTTAAAACAAATAACCCAATCAAGCTCCAAGACGTACAATATTGTATTGAAATTTTGTTCCATTACACATTATTTTACTCAGTAAAATATTGGTTGATTTAAGTTCGTATTAACACCTCGTTAAGCATACACATCGAAGAACATAAAAGTGGACGTTAGAGCCGGAAGGATGCCTGCAATTCGAGTTCCACCATTGTACATTATACATATACCTGGCCATTACAAATGCAGCCTCTCTTTTCTTCCAGTACTGTTGTTAAATGGTCGTATCGGTTTATTTTTCTTGCAAAATGGGGGTTGTAGTCGAACTTAGTTTTTTCTTTTTATTCCATCGGCAGTAGCTTTAATTAAATTATACACGTAGTAAGCGCGCGCGTGTCTCGCGTCAGCGATTGCGCGCTTCTCATGGGGTGCGTTCGATTAGTTTCCCTGAATACACTAGTGTTACACGCAAGGGAAGCCTCGAAATGAGGGTAATCGAACGCTACAGTGTACTCACCAGGGCACTCTTGGAAAAAAGGTCAAGTCCCCGCCACGTTCCATAGTGTACGTCCATGCACGAACAGTCCGTCCGTGACGTCATTACACTCGGGTAGCCTCCAGAGACCCGCTCGCCAGCGCCGGGGTAGTAGTGGCTGCCACCAGGGCAGGCACGAGGATCACGTGATGGCTAAACGAACGCTCTCGTGTAAGTTTGATTTACACGTATAAGCTAATCGAACGCACCCATGGTAATTTTCCTAAAATGCGTCTATACATGTATATGCATTGTTGGAAATGGCGTTCTTTCATTGCTTTCTTCAAAATGACAGCTTGCCAGAAAGTAATTTCATACGGAGTTTAGTCCAACAACCATCTTTATACCAATATGCTTTTCAAGATTAGTTTCGTCTGCTACTTTCTGGACAAGATGGACTGGCTACGCCAACTTTCTTTCCCTGTTACCAAGATATCCTTTTTTTGCAGTCCACGTTTTATTGTGAAGGAGCATACACCAAAATGACAGTCATTAATATGCATTATCACAACTTTAAACGTTAAAGCGAAGTCCGAGTAACCATGTAATAGTTGTCTTACTTCAAAATAAAACATTATCGTTGTGCAGTCTCGTTCTGTTCATTGAGGCACTGGCGCCATTATATGCTGTGGGGGTAAGCCAGCAGTTATATCCTGTCCAAACCAGGAATAATGGTAATGTTGTGCCAGTTGCTGCTGTTGATAAGGGAAACTCTCACCATGATTCGATCGTAGAGCCTGACCTAGGACTTCCCCACTGTAATCCCAGGATGGAGTTGGATTGGAATGGGTGGAATTGCCCTCACCGTTTGGTAATTGAGAAGTGATGTTTTGTGGTCGGTTGTAGCAAGATGACGCCCTGACAGGCTGGCTGGAAGATTCAAGAGAATGTGTTCCGGTATCTTGAGGACTCAATGTATCTGGGAGGGTAGGAGTCTGTGATTGGTCTTGTTCCGAATCCAAACTACCTGTACTGCTTGTGGGCGTTGCGCCTTGCTGCTTCAGTAACTTTTTGTACTTAGAGCGTCGGTTTTGAAACCAAATTTTTACCTGGAATTCAATGAAAGCGAAACTAATTAAATGATATTTACATCTTGGTTTATAATTCTTTAATTTGGTTAAGGGGAGTCAAGTTTGCGTAGTGCTTGTTTCCTCGTCCTCCACCTCTGTGTTCCGAGTTCGATTTTTGCAATGGGTTATCCAAGTGTATAATTATGCATCCAAAAAAAGAGTTATCCCAGATGCTTTTATAGGACTGTTGGAAACCCTTTAGCTCTTCTTTTAGTAATGCTTGTAGTTTTTGTTGGGTGGTTGCGGTATAAAATGCCGCGTTGAGTGTTTTGCGACACAAACTGGCTTTAACACACATACCTGTTTTTATTTCACATCGAAAAACTTCTCCATATTTCTATAAAGTCTATAAACCTTTAATGGAAAACGGACTCACACTTATGCTGTAGCATTGTTCTAGTAAAACCAATGCGAGTAAAGTAAATCGTAATAAATTATGCATGTGTCTGGCTTATGTTGAGCCAAGCACATCCTTAACCAGTCTTCTCTTTGCCAGCGTGTTTGTAATGGGTAAACCCAAACTTGTGCCCTTTTTGCTAATTAAGGAGCCTTACTGGTCGAGTTCGTCCTCATTAACGTTATCCCTTGAGAGTCTTGACTACCAAACACAAACACTGCTTGATGTAAAAGTAGGCTTGCTATCTCCTGCACAGTGTCACAGCTTGTGTGGCACAGTAATTGTTCACCCACCAGGGGCGGAGTTGCTTGTGTTTACGTTCTGTTAAGCACCCTCTTTGTCCTCCACTCCAGGTTTTAAACGGGGTTTGGGTTTTTGTTCAGGTTGTGGTCAGATGGTCTGAACATGGTCTGAGAGTTATTTGTTTATGTTTGTGACATGAACCTTATGGATAGAACTTGGTCGGGGACTTGGTAATAATATTTTTGCAGTGCAAAACTAACAGCATTTGTCCAACATTGAAACTCAAGCGATTGTCAAGTAGCTGTGTTGTAACCGAGCTGTACATAAGTGGTATCGGAGGAAACCGTTAGGAAGACACGTCATGTATCACCCTTCATTCGTATTTTTTTCAATTTTCTCCAAAGTGCCTTAATTCATGACCATAAGTATCGGTATACAATTGTCCCACTCCATTCTTCAATCTTTTCATGTCGCCGGGTAATGGAATACTTTACAGGTCTTGTTCTCAAAGCTGCACTGGGGACTCACCATAATTTCATGGTAACAGAGATATTTGAAGTCAAGAGTCCTCTACGTTTAGACACGTATGAAATAGCGTAATCAAACAAACTAATAAACTGATTAACTGTTCTACAACATTCAGCATTTACGACTTGAGCTTCCAAGATGGCAGTAACACTTGAACATACAATAAACTTAACTGAACGAACATACTCGTGATTTATGCCTCAAACGTATTTGAAAAACCTGTTTATTAAAACTTGTTGACAACAAAAGAAACAGTGACAAAAAACTTTAAAATTGTGTGGAAATTAAGGGTGCCATTGAGATCAACAAAAAAGTGTCTTTGTTTCACGATACAATGGCATTCTTCGAAGTCTCTATCAACCATTGAGAATGCACTGCCAAATGTAAAGACTAACCTGAGTTTGAGTGAGACCAAGGGAAGCAGCTAAGTCCGCTCTCTCAGGTAACGCCAGATACTGTGTCTTGGTAAATCTCTGATTGAGCTTTTGTAGTTGCAGGCTGGAGTAGATGGTTCGTGGTTTCCTTAGCTTCTTACCCTTGCCGTTGACTTTAGGCAGGGCCTGATCATCGTCATCTGTATCCAAAATGGCCTCTTTCGATTGAATGGGGTATTCTAGAAAAATCGTAATAAGTTAATGGAATTATGATACTACCCTCTGCTTTGCACGCAAGTTTTGAGCACTATGTTTTGAAAAGTGTGGACGGATATCCAGTTTAGTGCCAAGGTTAGGGTGGGCACCACGCTGACTACTGCAATGATTTTATTAGGTGTTGTGCAGTATTTTCAAATGATATCGACCAGGAGAAGTAAACTGAACGATGAAAATTACATCTTACAATACTATTTGTTTCTGAAAAGAGTAATTGTTCTCTAACAAAAAGAATCCCTGGTGGACTGTTTAATATATCTTACTTTGTCTTTCTCCCGTAGTCAAAAATTATAAGAAGAAAAGAATACCGTTAAGTGTTTAAAACATATACATACATTCATGTGAAAATGATTCGGTAGTAACAAAAGTTTTAGGGACTTTGAAACTTTGAAGACTCGCCGTACAAGTTCAAATAAATGTTTTTCGAAGTACTTATTATTGCAGTGTTGCAGATTAGGGTTCTCGTTTTAACAAACTTAAAACATTGGAAATGTATCTAGGCTTGTTCACAACTCTCAAAAAGATCAGTAAGATGTAAGGGCGAAACGAGTGCAATACCTTCTCTTGTTTGCGGCGTGTGATAGTGATGGCTGTAAGCTGAATGATGATTGTGACTCCCCATCGGACTCAAGGGAAAGGAATATCCGAGATGTCTGACGGGGTGTTGCATGGACGAGGCGGTCGCGTTGTATGCTGTCTCCGGAGTGCCTGTAACTGGTTCGCAGAACGACCTGGGCGTTGGGGTGCACTGCATACTGGGGTGTGGTGGAACAGCATACGGAGATGGTGGTACCGCAGTTGAACTGCATGTCATCGGGGTGGTAGGCGCTGGCGGTCCACCAGTAAAATGATGGTGAAGCTGATGGTACTGTTGGAACTCCGTGAAAGCTGATTTGGAGCTCGGTGAATCGAAACACTCGAAAATTGAATTCATGACGGGATTACCTGAATTTAGAGCTTGTTACTGAATGCAGCCACAGACTTAAAAGACTTTGACTCGACGGGTACTTCTAGTTGTAGAAATGGAACCTTCTTTAAATGGCAAAATTAAACATTCTAACAGTTTTGTATCCCGTGTTGACGTATCTAGATGGTGGAAAATTTGTATTTCAAGTTTGTTCTAGGTAATCTTATTGTTGTTCTCCTGTCTATTTCATCACCGAATAATCTATTTTAACTGTCCTCACCTCACGACGATTATTTCACGATGAAGGATGTACAAAACATTTCAACTATGAATAAAATCATGCAAGCAGGTCCGTCTGGTTGAATCCATTAGAATTTGCCTTATAAAGAAGCGTAACAGGTGCGGAAGGAATATTCACAACTTCCACAGATGGTTAGAGTTAATCTGCGAGATATCTCCTAATGTTTCCTAAACATCCTGCTTTATGACGGTAAACAAAAAATCGACCATCCCGTTGTATGTAGTTGTCCATGTTTGTATCAGGTCACGGGGTGTGCGTCCTATCTCCTCGTGTTTGATTGGCTTGTCCACTGAGAGAGATCCACTGGAGCTTATTACCTCTCGATTAATATTTCATTGTGTCTGTATATAAGCCTCCAGAGCTTTGGGAAGAGCGTCTTGGATGCAAATCTAGTCGACCGGCTTCGTCAAGTCCTCTCGGTCTATTGCTCTTCTCAGCTGGATGTCCTCCAACCCTGTCCCAATACAGTTCTGTCTTAATTCTTTGGAAGCCAGCATCTACTGTACCAGGCAATCTCAGGCAATAAAACACGAGCAAGTCACACAAAGTACACCAAGTACAATGGTATCTGTAAACGAATCTGACTCCTTCTTTTCATGTTGATTAGCTTTATAAAAGCTTTCGTCTCTGTGTAACCCGCCGGGTATCTGTAACTCCTCTCACCGTAAGGGGGTATTCATCGTCCCCTTTTGACCACAGAGAGGCATGGCCTTCCCCCACTACCCCGACCGCAACGGCTTCTTTAAAGACACTAAACTCAGACAAAAAGGGGAATGCCAGGGCCCAAAGAAAAGACGAGTTAAGGCTTTGGAAAAATGGGCGGCATGGTGGCGCCTGCTCTGAAAACGCCTTTACACATGTTCTTTCACTCTGCATTATCATTGCAGTCGGACGTCCTTACTGTGTGTTTTTCTCTCCTTCTTTCTCACCAGCAAGACATTAAGCCGCGATTGTCTTGGTGGCTGGTGATGCATTGAGCCAAAACATACATTCTGAGAAAGTATTTTTTTCCTGCATTGTTTTGTTGTGTCCAGTGTTTCTGTCAACAACGTACTGGTGGTCATCTGTTATGGTGCGTGGTGTCATTTGTTGACAACATTAACTGATGAGTTTAATTACCTTTGGGGAAAAACACGCCTGTTGGCTACTGCTCTTCTAAGAGCGACCAATGAGGTTGTCAGATTGGGATAAAAAAGATAAGTGATTGATGAGTTTGTCCCTTGACACATGTAGGGTGGTACTGGTGGTATGTAGTATGAATGTACCTCAACGGTGAACCAAAATTCAGAAGGAAGGAAAGTGACTGGTTTTGTGACAGCATATAAATTTTTAAGCGATTCCCAGGGTTTCACCCTAAAAGAGCCGGTTATATTTTGAAACTTAGGCATGAATGTGCAGACATACATACATATATATCTTACAGGGTGAAAATGAGGAGAGAGAATTTAAAGAGAAAACGCCCTGGGCGATTTGTACAGAGAAATGTACTGTAAAATCTAACGTAATTTTCTTTCTTTGAGGTCGATGCTTAGTGTATTTTTGGTATGTGATCCTGGAGGTATCGTTAAATAGGTCTTCAACAGGCTCACCTGCTCAAATGAAATGCACTAATACATGTACATGTATGTGTTCAACATAATTATTGGCAAAGAGCATATTTAGCATTCGTGCTCTTTATAATTTGCAATACTTTAAAGTCCAGATCAGACAGGGAAGCTTTCTGTGATATATTTTGAGTCAGAAAATCTCAAACTAAAAAGGTCATCTTCTATTTTATTTCATGTTATAATTATAAATAGGGTATAGGATTTGAAGATGTAAGGCACTCAACAGCTCCTTAAAAAAATTGCTGAATGGGTGGTTTCAGCTTTCAGGTTTTTTTCTTGGGGCGCATTTTCTTGTGTTTCTGAGGGCTGAGACTGAAATAAGGGCTTTCTGCTTGCTTTGGAAGGGAAATGAATTATCCCTCCAAAACAAGTAGCAATCTATCATTTATCCTAAGCAATCCCCCAGGAGAGAGACACGGCCCCACTGCCCCTGGATCGGCCAATGAAGCTAAAAAAAAATTATTCTACTTCTATCAGCTTGAGGTCTCTCAATGACAAGGCACGTGGAATTTCAAATCTGTCCAAACTTGTCACACCCCCACACCTATCGCGACACCTGTACTCAAATCATAAGACCAAACAAACTGCAAGCACGAGAAGAAACACTGAGCCTGTGCACATTGTTAAAGATGCCGTCCTTTTTCTTGTCTTTCGTGCAGTGTTTCATATTAAAACTTCAAGTAGAGTGTGGTATTAAAAGTTATTTACATGTGGAATTTAGGATAAGACAACTTTTCATCAAATGTTACAACTATAGCATACACGACAAACTCTTAAGAATTCGTTCACAGCTCAAATCTTGCTTTACACATGTACATTTTCAGATTTTAACCTTGGAGATTAACAGCCCCTATGGCTGACCCAGTTTTATAGCCTGTATAGAATCAGAGATACAGTACGTACAACTTTCTTCTTGTCCTGAACTCGCATGCAAAACGGCTTGTTCTGGTTCATTTGTAAATTCGCAATTGTTCCTTTGCAGTCTGCCTGGCACTAAGTGATGGAAAAACGACACTGGGGAAAAATTAGTAATGTTTGAACCGAAAACTTGTCATACTCAAGGCAACATCACTTCCAAACTGATGTTTAACAAGCCTTCGAGATTACAATAACTTCTAAACAACTTAGCTTGCACCAGCAAAACTTAAACGAAGGAAAATATGAATTATGATGACATTTTTGTCATAATTATCCACATGAGTCCGATAATTTCATTGAAATGCCTTCGAACGTGTGGGTTTTAAAAAACCAAGATATTAAGTGAACTTGAGTAAAAGCCACCCGTTTATGAACATTAGTGTTACTGTGTAGGAGACCGAGGGTCAATGCCAAATGGTGAAGGCATCTTTCTGAGCCAAGGGGTGTTACGCCGGTATCCATACTCTCCATTGAATCCAAATATTGGCTTGGCATCTGACAGGAACTGACCATGTCCATTGACCTGCTCGGTTGAGTGACCAGCTGAAATAGGTGAGCAGAAAATATGTAGGATTAGGGTTCATTAATTCCAGCAAAATAATGGAATCAACCAACAGTCCAGTAACCATGATGGCTATTACATGTACATGTATCTGTGCACTAAACATGTACATGTAAGAGTAAAGAACCCGAGTAAATATCCTCGGTAGGTTTGTCTTGCAGATACACATTGTTTTTAAATTTACTTTAGTTAGTTGTGATTACCGTGCCATTTTTTACTTTGCCTTTTGTTTTAGAGTGGGGAAGGGTGACCCCCTCGCTCCCTGGATCTACACTGATGAGTACTTCCTTAAACAAGCCTGGCAAATGCCATACCTACCCCTATTTAGATTACACAACTGCCCTGTTGTTATCTGATGAAAGATCATGAAATAAGTGTACATGTACATGGTATTAAAATTCCTTTCAAACATTGCTCTCCCTGGGAAGCCATCTGTTCGGTGCAATGGATGCACAAATCTTAACATTTCAAGTCACATTTTGACTCTGAACATGAAAACAAACCATCACCAAGCACATTAAAGTGATCAGTATGAGTTGCTTTTCATGTATAGTACTGTGCACATGTACGTAACTTCCCTCCCTCCAAACATGCCAAATGTTTTATGCCACATCAGACATACATGTATGTCATTTCTTTTGTAATATATCTACTTCTTGTTATAGTTTTCCTACCTTTAGCTGACCCAGGTGCTGCATTCCGTGCATGCAAATATCTGTAGCCAGCCCCTGATTCAATGAATCTGTCAATTACAGGCCCATCAATGGAGCAGCCACCTTTGTCCTGTTGGAATTTTGAAAAATGATTAGAATATAATCAACTGCTAATGTGATAATGATCCGTAAGCTGTAAAATGTAGGCATATTTCAAAACTCTGACAAGAGGTGGTACATGTAGCAAGTTCATTCGCAAGTCCAAGCAATGCACCCACCCCTTTTCCCCAAAAGCTAACCTCAAACATACACACTCGATCACAGTGTATTAACTGATTTTATTGCATGTAATTCAAATTAAACAAGCCATACAAAATAACAGATGCATAAAAATGGACAAAGATGTTGACTAGAGAAGGACTTAATGTGCGTCTGTGGAACGTCTGTGGAACATCTGTGTTCAAGGGGTGCTGTAGTCAGATGCCATTTATGTCGTATTTCATAAACATGGTGGGGATTTTTCAACAAAATCTGACTGGTAAAAGGAACTTTATACATATGTTTCCGTTCAAGCGAGCATCAAAAGCGATATTATGCTCTGTATATTCTCTGCTGACTGGGCCTGGGGAATACGAGTTGACTCGGGTACCAGCCAACCTGGTTATGAGTTACCTCAGGTGCGAGTTGACCTGGGTACGAGTTACTGTAACTTGGGTGCATATTTTACGGTACGAGTTGACCCATTTCGATTCACGGTGTTGTGAACAAAATTGCACTCTACTACCATGATATACATGTAAGTAGTCAAATGGTTTGAAAGTATTACAGAAACACAGGCATCACCAGGATGTTGTGGGGGGGGAGGAACAGCCCACCTACATGTATTTAGTGCTTATAGATGAAACTCAATAGATACCTGTTGATACCCACTTTGGAAAGCTAAATCCCCCTCTTAAGCCCAACCTTGATCCACCCCTTTCAATCACCTTAAAACACAGAAAAACCTTTTACAAATGTACTGTATACATGAAAATGGTTCAACTTATGAAGAATGTACCTGTTCTAATTCTTAAAAAGACTATTAGTATTACACGTACCATGACATTTGTCTAAATGTTATCCAAAGTGTAGATATATTCAGCCCCTGAAATACCAGAATCATATATTTTCTAACAGCATTTTGTGGATCAAAGATCCAAAACAAGTATTTACTGGTAAAAGTCTAATGGGAAGAGTGTTTACCTGTTTTGTCTTCCGTAGGGTTTCATCAACCTGCTCTCTGGCAAAATACACTTTTACATGCTTGTCTTTTTGTGAATTATAGGGGGGAATCGCCGGCCCAAGTTTCGGCTGGCAGTGGGAATAGTCCTTGGCAATGGAGTCCACGGCTATGCAGTCCAGCAAAAAATTCTTCTCTTTTTCAGCTAGTTCTTCGTGGGTTAGCTCTGGAGGACCACGGGGGGATTTTGCTGGCTTATTCCGTGGGGATTTCTTGGCTGATTTGTTTCCCACTGCTTTATCGGGCTTCTCTGTAGCCGTCAGTGGGCTACCTGGTGTGGCCAGTGGTGTAGTTTCGATGGGCACTTCTGCCTCGTCAGACATATTCTCGATACTCAAAAGCAGTGTAACTTTGTTCTCAAAAGCAAGCAGGGTTCTTCAGTGAACTCGGGCTTTTCGTATTGGGTTGGGTAGCAAAACCGTACAATACATGTACACGCGGTACGTACATGTACAAACACGATGTACCTGTTACAATGTAAACACCGGTTGCATATTCGCTGCTATTCACGCAAAGCGGCTATCAATCAGTTGCTAGGAGACACACCTGTGCATTGCTGGAATATAACGATTGAGGGCGCTGTGGCAACTTCCAGCGTTTTGCCTTACGTGGAAAAATCGATGAATGTTGTGACATGATTGTGCAGCCGAAAACACAGTTGGCTAGCAGGGCGTGGGGGAGGAGTGCTTGCCCCCTTGAACAATTTAAATAGTGGAAAATAATGAGGGAAGACAAAGAAATGGAATAAAAGACCTTAGTAAGAGCGTGTCTTCGTTTTTTACGCTTTATAGCTTTACCTTGTAAGAGTGAATATGTTTCAATGATCCGCGGATGTCTGAAGCCAGCGTGATTTGCAAAAACTTCCTTATTCCTTGTTTCTGGAAGTAGCCCCTAGCATGACTGTCTCCAGCAGCATCGTACGGTCGTATCAGTGGCTTGTATTTGGTAGCTTGGTTAGTAGCTACTACACTATCAATACAGTACCGCTTTCGTCTCTCTGCAAGGTCGACTTCTTCTGGAGGAGCGGGGGCGCGATGCCTACCCGCGAGTGTGTTTAGACTTTGTGGTGAGAACTTTGGGCAAGTCTTCTGCATCAATTGGTTACTTAAGGATTTGGGCGTTACGTCACGCTGCTTCTCCTTTGTTGAACCACGACAACCATGGGAGGCCTGTGGGGTACATCCATATCTTCCCTGTTCAAAGAAGAAATATATGTCTTGATGCTTTTGCTACGTCTTCCTTGATTTTCTTTAAAATTGATATGTAATTCCAACCAAGCTCACCGAATTACTTTGTCTAACAAAATTCTCGCCATCGAAATTAATTTTAAAAACTTTAAGAAGCGCGTCGCATCATCACATAATGACGGAAGCAAAATAAAATTTCACAATTTTCTTAATTAAAGGTAATTCCTGTCCTTTTGGATTTTTGAAAATATCTTATTTTGTTTGCAAAGATTCCCATTTTTATACTTGGAGGAGCAAGGAGCAATTGGTCAGTATTTTGAAATTGAATTGTCTTGATTAAAGTTAATCTCAAATATCCAAGCTTTACAAGCCTTTATCCACATCAACAGTTTGATGTCAGACCATAGCTTACCTCTAGTTTGAGCAGTTCTCTTATTGTTTTTTTTTTCAAATGGAAATTGATGTAACAAGACTATATCCCATCGTAATTTTTAAAATCCAACTTGCTTAGGTTACAAAAAATGAAATTGTTGATCGTCCCCTCCCGACCCATCAAAACTCCCCGACGAGGGATTGCAGGAATTCAATTCTGTGAACAAAATTATATTCACGTATAATAGACAGCAATATCTAAAATCGGAAACTCTCTGGTATCGTTGGAAATCCATGTTCATGCAGAATTGCAGATCTATTGGCTGCGCTGGCCCCGTAGGCGAGCTAGGGTTACATTAATGGTGTACTATTTTACGTCACACTTTTCTGCCTCTCTGTAGCCTCTTTCAAGGCGACACAAGTACGTGACGCGAGACGGTTTCCTTGCGTCGTGCCATTGCGTCGCACCGTCGCCTTCTTTCCATTGCGTTTGTACACGCACAACGCGTCGCGTCGTGTGCTGTCGCACTTTGCATCATGGTGTTGATAAAGCGCCTTTACTGCTTTCCTTCATTTCCGTCCCCCGTGCTTGCAAAATACATGCCGGAGCCACAAGTTTTGATTTTTTCTTGTTTTTGTTTCATCCATTCATCAATTTGAATTAAATTTTGCCATATTTTATTGAAAAAAAAATAAAAAAGAGGACGTTGCTCTCACATTATAAGTGTAAGCCCAGAATTCGTTACTCTTTAACTACCCGACCAATCCTTGTTCCAATTTCCGTCTAATTTCTTTTTAAGACAGCTGATGAAGTTCCCATTTGTGGTAGATTTGTAACGTATAGATATTTCTCTGTGGTCCATCCCGGCAATTTCCAAGTAGTACTCCCACTCCTCCAGACGAATTGTGTAGGCCTACAATTGTAAGACCGTAAGCTTGACCAAGGGCTTAGGAAGTTACCACCCAGCCTGCACTATATCATTACCCTCAGGATGTTACGTCTTCAATCTTCCTTCAGTGTAGTCTTCCCCGTTTACTTTATCAGCACCATACTTTCAATGATATTAGTCCGTGTTTTTTTAATAAAACACTGTAGACCCTACTACCATTGTGACGGTGTCTTTTCTTCAACTCTGTTTGGCCACTCACATAATTTCTCGTCAGACCTCCATATCACATTACCAAGCACGTAATAATGATTGATGTTTTGTATCTTAGAATGTGTTCACAAATGATTGTAAGAATGATCAGAATTAGAGCAAGAAAAGCTAAGCCATTGTTGTGGCTGACGATAATGTCATTTATTTCCTGGAGACGATGCCGATTGATGGTCGCAACGCTCTTTCTAATTACATTTGATTTAAAAAAATAAAAATAAATCAAAAATATCCCTTTCTTTAACAACTCATTGATAATGAAAACACAAAGTCAGAAAGAATGCATGAAAAAGAACAACAGAATCAGGATCAGGTATGTACTACGAAAACTCGTGGACGGAAATGAAAGAAAACAGTAAAGACGCCCTTCATAAACACCATGAAGCAAAGGGCGACAGCACGCGTCGTGTCGCGTGTCGTGTCGTGCGTCGCGTCGTGCTTCGGCCGACGTAGTACGCGACTCACTGTACGACATACAACACGACGTGCGGCGGTGCGACGCGACGGGCGACGAAAGGAGTGACGTTTAGGCAGAATAAAATGCAATAAGGAAAGACATAAGACAGCACGACGCGACGCACAACGAGTTGTGTGTGTACAAACGTAATACAAGAAAACGACGGTGCGACGGGACGCACGACGCAAGGGAGCTGTCGTGCCGTCGCGTCTTGTAGTTGCATTGCATTGGAAGAGGCTAGAGAGAGGCAGAAATATGTGTCTTAAATAGTACACCATAAAAGTCAGAGTCCTGCTGTCACACTCTGCTTGTACATCTGACTGGTATCCTGTCTTCATGATGCAAAAGAGTGAAAAACTCACTCCCGAAAAGATTTAGTCCCTAAAAAAAACACATCCCAGCAGAGTGTAAACCATTCTATAAAAAGAGTAAAAACCGCTTTAAAGTGAGTAAAAACCTCTACAAACGAGTAAACTTTCCAATACATGTATACCAAGGAGCCATATAAAGGACAATTCGAAAAAGAGTTGTCCTTCATACGGCTCCTCTTTTAGTGTGATTTTCACTCTTTTCGAGTGATTTATCAGAGTGAATTTTCACTCTTGCGTGTAGAAAGCTGTGCCGCACCCTTGATCCTTGCAGTGCGTCCATCAAAACGTTTCCCAGAAACCTGATTTACGTGACACCAGATTAATTGTATGACAAGGCTTTGCATCTAGGGTCGAGTTCGGGCGGCCAGTTCTTGACACAGTTTGCTTGTTCTCGCGCTCGAACGGCTGGAACACGACCCAGGAACACTGTTCCCGAAACAGGATTACACACCACCTCCTCGTCAGGGTTTTACAGGAACACACGGAAAACCCCGAGAGATTTTGATTTTTAAACCGCTGTAAGAAATTTTGAGATGGCTTACAAAGCCGGAGACAATGGGGTGTTTTGCAAAATGAACAATATCAATTTTCCACAACACAGAAATGAATGTTCCTTTTTAATTAGAAAAGAATTCAGGCCAGTTACCCTAGCATGAACCCTCCAAAATCGTAAAGGACGCCGCCATTTTTCTTGTAGTACTACAACCAGCGATAACAGTTTTACGCTCCCGGCGTTCGAGCGGCCAACCCACAAATAACATATCGAGCTGTTCGTGAACATACGAGAACAAGCCGCCCGAACTCAGCCTAGACGTTTTCGACTAAACGTGCGCTCGAACATGACGGGAGGAGTGACATCAGATTCACTACATGACAAGGCTTTGCATCTACACGTTTTCGGCTATAAACTAATACGATTAGACGCATTACTGCGGTGGCACCTCACTCACACGCACATTCTTCAGCTTGACGCGCGTGTCCATTTGGCAAATCACGACACCCTAGTGGTTGAAGAGGCATGTAACGCGCGCATACCATGTGTCTACGAGTGTTGTACCACCGGTGGTCGAATTACACTATACGTTTGCTCGAACTATGGCGGGGTGTGCTTGTTGTTGTGACAACTTGCCTAGAGGCTCTAAAAACATTTCAAAAATGTTGACTTTGCTTCAGATCTGCCGCTGATCCTGTATTTGTTCAAACTATATGAAAATGATTTTATCTTTGGGTCAAAAGCACACAGTTTGACACTTCTTGCGCAAAAATTAATTTTTTTTTCAATGGAGCTACACATTTGAGAGTCAGTGGATTAAAAGTTTTCTAAGCTGTAGGCAAGCTGAAAATTTGCTCACTGCTGTGCAGGGCATGTTCCGCCATTAAATTCATGTACATGCCTCCGCACTCACACCGGACATTAAATTAACAATGCCTCAGATCGCATCGAGTGAACGTTCGCCATCTTTGAAGAAGTAAAAAGTATCAGACACTTTGGAGCCAAGAAAAAAAGAGAGTATAAGAAATGGTAAGGGTTTTTTAGGTGAGGAAAAAATGTGTCAAGTTTTATTTTTTCCTCTCAGGTTAGTGGTATCATGAGGGGAAACCTCCCTCACTACATATACCCAATTTTCTGGGAAAGGACGATCTGCAGTCTTTTTTTCATGTGGCCATATACAATTGCAGACTGGATCTGTGCTATCGAAGTCACATTCCTTTGGCTTTTTCTCAAGGAGGGTGTAATCTTCAAGAGTTACAAACACACTCTGTTTGTCGGTCTCTTTGTGTCGCTAATGCATCTGCAAACATTTTGACCAAATGTCCTTTATGCTCCTTCTCCTTGGGCAAACCCTTCAATAACAAACGTTACATCGTTAGAAGTCAATCAAAAAAGGCTTAAGTACATGTTCATTCTGTTTCCTGAGAAACGTTGCGGGCAAGGTCCTAAATTAATCATAATATAATATTAAAACACCAGTGAAGTGTTTTGGCGCGACTTTGCGAACTTGCAAACATTGCTCCTTTTTACGATAACCATGTGACTACGTGGGTCTATTGTAAAATCAGTTGTTTCTTTGCATCAATCGGTTTACAAGTTAAACAAGTTTTCATATCGATTATTAGAATTAAATGTGAAAATGAATACAAACCAAATAATTAGCCGCATGAGTAAAATCGATGAAACTGGGGTACGCCTTGAAATTGTATTTGATTGCATTTCTCATGAATTTGAGTAGGAAAACGTATCAATAAAATATCGTTGGTAATCAGAAGTGCATCGCTTGTATGAAAATTACGAATATGTCCAAAAAGTAGTGATTCGACATTCTAAACGCTGCTTGCCAGTAATTTAAACTGTAATGACCGTAAATTTAAATACATTTGCTGCTTTATTTCCTCATCGCAAGCTGAAGTTTTTTAGTTGATATAACGACATGATTCTTCACTAAATTCTAATTTTGCACCAAATGAATCGCTCAAAAACTAATCAATATTACGGGTAATAGTTTTATTATTTTAAATAAAAAAAGTTAGTATAAATATTCCTATCTAATTGTAGCGAAAGTTGTTCAATTTAATATCAAGCCAATTCTAAATCGTTAATAAGAATGATCTTCAAAAGAGCACTCAAAAATCAAAAGCAGGCATTCGATTTCGTTGTTAAGTTTTTTTTCTTGAAAAATGCTCTCCGATTTTATTCATATTCCAAAAGTCGTGTTGTTTATTCATGTTCGTTAATGGATTTGAAGCAGGTATTTGATTTAGTCAATGCGCCATTTCGTTCCACTTGTGGGAATTCAAATTCTTTCTGAGTGATTAGAAAGTTTTTGCTGGATTCTGTATTGCATCTGATGTTCCAAGAAAAAGGTTTAACGATGGATGTTGAGAGAGCTTTTTGTCAAGGTGACATCGTACAAAAATTATGGAGGCTGGGTTGTTATAGAAAAGTGAGCATCGTAATTTGGGGAAAGCTGATTAACGTTTTGCAGGGCAATATTTGTTCTTTTTGTGTTTTAATGTTTACCCGGCATTTGTTTCCCTGAACGTTTCTTAACTTTTTCATATATTTATTTTTCATTTGAAATGATCCGAATAATCAGATACGAAACACAAATGAACAGCATCAATACACACATCAAACAGTAAAACAAAAATTTCCTGATTTGACTCAAGAAATAGGCGTAGATACAAACAAAACAAGACGCAAGGAAATCATTTACAATCGTGAAAACAATGAAGCAAAAATACCATACAGAGCCACTAACAATGAAAGACCGTGATTGCTTTAACTTCTCCAATACTCCTAAATTGAACACTCAGAACGTGAAATAGATTTAGTTCAAGTGAAAAAGGAAATCTTGCGCAGGTGAAAGATCCTATGATCATCGAAGAGTTTTAATTTGACTGCACCTATTATTGGAAAAAGGCAGCAGATATTACTCTGAAGAATGGTGATACTGTTGTCTTGAATGCCCATTAACGAGTGGAATGACGGAAACAAAATTGAACGGCAAAGCTAAATAAAATATGTGCATGAAAACGAATTTGAATGTTAGGATAGGGGAAAAGAAACCCCATAACAAAATAAGCCGTAGCGCCTGTGAGAATGTAAACGTGTGTTGGCCAAAATGAGTGGATCTTTGCTGAACTGATCGGGAAAACCTTTAATTATTTGACTCATGCACTTTTATGATTCAGACCAGCATGGAAATGAATATAATGTAGTTCTGCACCCCGCATGAGCTTGTCATACCTTGTCATCCAGTGTCTTGCGTAAGAGCGACTGTACCATCGGTGATTTGAAGTAATGACGTGCGTACGGATCCGTCATAGCGTCATATTTGGGAATGATATCGGGGGACCACTTGTAGCGTTGTTTTTCGACTAGAATACAGTCTAGTTTAAAATTCTTCTCCTGTTCAATAAGACGTTGGGCTGACGTTGTTGATGGAAACAGGGCAGGGGCTGTCTCAATGTGTCCTAGTGGACTACTCAGAATGACGTGTGAATGAACAGGCTTTGCCATCTTGTAGGTCTCGTCCACGTCGACGTTTCTATGCTACAATGAAATGGAAAACTGCTACAAAGAAAGTGTCCTTAACGAAGAATGGAATGACTTACTCGCTTTGTTGGTGAAATTTGTGCCCACAACTGTTCAAACTAATTTTAAAATGAATAGTAAACATTTTTTTCTGTTCTGTTGACGTTTGAACGTAAAGAGAACAAGTGCCTCATTGGAAATATTTTGAAGCATTTTTATCCGTTAATTCTGTCTTCTGCAGAAGAAGAGTAACAGCCACATATTGAAGTGGACGTAATACTAAACAAAAGCGGACATCGCTGTTGTAGGGGATATAAATGAGAACATGTTTCGGATGACTTAAGGATGACTGCTGTTACATTTAACTGCTGGTATGAAATTGGTGACTGGAAGGATAGCATAATAATAGGCCATTCAAACAGAAAAATCAAGGTAATCTCTTAAAAAGCTACCACAAATCTAATATTATCATTATTATGAAAACCTGCAGCTGGCTTTAGAATGATGCACCACTTTTATAATAATTTGTCTAGCTGTTAATTTGTCCGGAGAATGTTCCAACCATTCCAAAACTATTGTGGAAGGATAATATGGTATCTGACGGGTTACACACGTACATACCTTTAATTTTGCTGTCCCAAAGTGAAGAGATAGCTTTCACCGATTAATAATAATTCTGCTAGTGCTAGTAGCATTCGCTAGGCAAGCGAATGCTTTTTCAACGATGCTTTTGTTCCGTGTTAACTATAGACATGTTCCCCACCGCTCAGTATAATCGCAGATGCTGTTGATTGTCTGGCAACCAATCAAGAACTGTTACACAGATGTTTCTTCCTTGTTATTTTGCCTGATAGCTGGGCTGTATTTGCGGGGGTCAACAGACTTCAATCGACCAACCCGGTAAGGGAAAGCCGACGCGTCGCCCCGCAACCACAACACGCTTGGCTCCGTTTACCCAACCAAGACACGCTTGGTTCGACTTACCTAAACCGATCTGTCCCCATTCATTCCACCTCTCTTTGAAAAGTAAACTTCTACCCACTTTGGCGAATCGAGAATATCAAACACAGTGATTAGAGTAAACATTGAATCGTTGTCTGGCAAAACACAAAAAGTGTTTTTAAAGAGAATTCTTTGTGGATATCTAAAGGAGTAAAACAAAGACGCTAACAAGTTACATAGTGCCTTTTTAATGGAATAATTTCGAAGTGAGACACAATGACTGGTTTTACACACAATCATATCTTGTTTGCTGCTTGATAGTTAATGAAACTGACTTGTTCTTACCGTTAATAAAAACCGTTTGATTAATAGTTCAAATATTGGTTTGTAGAATAAAGTGAGAAACAAGGCTATTTATAGTGAGTTTAGCTTTACTGCACATTTGTTGCTCTATGCGGCTCAAAACCAGCAGCATGATTAAATCACAGCTAGAAATACAAAGAATGATCCTGTTACCTTGTTTATGTAAATCTGTTCTTACAAAAATTGTACCGTTAAATTCACTGTGATAGAATTCTACACACAGGTTTTCATTTTGCTGACCACTATTTCTTTTTTAAAATTGACTAGTTTTGAACGGTCTCCTTATGTGTTTTTGAGCGTGGAATTTTTGGCATCTTTTCTTTTTGATTAGCACGAATATTCTAACTGAGGACAGGTTGCAACCAGAGTTACTTTTGTCCACAATTCTACTGTACATAAGTGTTGTCAATGAACTAAGATAGACGATAGCTTGTGGGTACAACCATGTACATGTCTTTGTACCTCTTTTGTTAATCATTGTGGTTCTGAAAAGAACTATTGAGCGAGCATTCTCGACTTTCTCGACAGTGTTCTCTGTTCGTTCATGAGTGTTCATGAGTGCTGGACTGCTGCTGACATTACATGTAGCCTGGTTACAGATATATTGGAAAAGACAGGTCTATGCAGTTCAGCACTCCTAAAGACGAACATAGGACGCCATTCGAAACGTAGCAAATATTCTCACCACCGATACATATACGCTGTTGTACCTGTAAGCCTTCAACTATGCATGTATGACTTATCCAGTACGGTTTGAGATATTTCCTTAGCAATTTAATACTTGATTTGGTGTGCAGGGATGAGTAGTTATAATTTTGTAGTTTCCTTTTCAAGATTCACATACAATTTCAAACGTGCAAAATAGCCGGGACAGCATACTACGCCGTTAACTCAGGGGCGGATTCAGGATTTTTTGCTAAGAATTTTTTTTTAATACAAGGGAGGGGGTGCCAATTGTTGTCGCCATTGGTGAAATCATTTACCTTTGTTCTTTTATCCTTAACCACACAATAAAAATAAGATCCCTGCATGTTTTATTCTTTTCAGGGGTATTAACTAATCATAAACTTGCCTTTTACGAGTGCACTCTGTTAGTTTTTTTAATGTAAGCATTCACTTTTTGCAATCAGGAAACACGGCTTGACACTAATGCATTAAGAACGACATACTTAATTGTCAAACATCTTTTGTGCGGATAAGGATTTCTCTTAATGTGCTTCTCAAACAACACGAAGATGATAATGTTTGTTTCTAAAATAATGACTGCTCTTTTAGATGTAAAGATATTATTGATGAAGGACGGACTTAGTACCTGTTTTTCTTGTTGTACTACTGCCATGGTGCAATGTGATGTTCGTTCAAAGTGCATAATCAGTGGTCTATTGTTTCTCGCCTTCAAATAAATTATGGATAATAAGCGTGATTTGTAATACGTTATCAGCACAAACTCACACCTTTCCACATGCACAAAACACTTCATTTTCAGACCCTGGTTTTGGTCTTCTAAAATACTGTTTTTGTGCGTTAAACGAGATAATTGACTTTCGTGGATAGATTTGTGTGCATTATCTCAATGGGAAATTCAAATACGATACCACGTCCAAAATGAAAGGACACTTGAACGTAAGTTTTATTTTGGATTAGTGATAAATGTGACATCTGCTACTGCTAGGGATAGATGACTTTTCTTTCCTCCAGAGTGGCTACTTTCCTTTGTTGTCTTTTGTTACTTGGACCTTTTCATTCGCTAGCAGCTTCACAAGATGAACAGTCAGTTGAGACAACTGGCTTTGCTTCTGTCAAGTAGACCACATTCACATCAAACTGGTTAGCTTGCAAGTCCTCTGGCAATCTTACCCTGTTTGCTTATCTGACCGTACCCTATGAACAACGACGCCCCTTAACTTCGCAAACTAGCGGAGTTGCATAGATCAGTTATGTTTCTACAAAGATGTTTCTCATGCCTAGAATATCAATGGAAGCATTCATCATTGAGCTATCGTTATTCGGATAAACTTTACTGTGCGACCCGCAACTCTTCTTGTTGTCCTCGCGGAGCATTATAGATTACCGTGAGACTGGGTTCTGGGACCATAGCATCTGCACACACTGTTTCGTGAACTCTACATAGCGTTTAGTTTATAGTGTATCCCCCATAACCACAAACAGCATAATAGGAAGGAAATCCGCAAAAAAGACCCATACCAAAATTCATACAACATTCTAACAATATCCAAACACTCTTATGACTTCTTAGAACTCTTAAGATTTCCTTAAACTTCATCTTTTTACCACCATGTAAAAATAGTATTGTTTTTTATCTTGCCTATTAAATAAGTATTCCTTAACAAGAAAATCTTACCTTTACCAGTTTGTCGACCAGTGCTGTTGTTTGTCCTGGTAGAGTAGAAATGGTTGATCTCGAAATGCCACTCTGATCTCGACCGAAATGCAGCTTCAAATCACCGTCATTTGTCTTAAAAAATAGTGTCACCTTAGAAAGAAAGCCATGTAAAAAATCGTGTTTTGTCTTTAAGAGCTTAAACCCTCTACGCACAAAGTCTACATTTTGCTTTTCTCTCAAGGTGTACAAAGTCCATATATATTCAGTTGACGCGAAAAAAGGAGCTTGAGCATATCCTCTGAGGACAGGATAAAACATCTGACAACTGAGCCACTACCTTTCCACTATCATCATTAGCGAACTTAGTGTAACAGGTCGACTTATTCCTTTGAGGTGATATTCACTGTGTATTCACTTCATCAACGACGTCAGGGGAAAACTGTTCCACTATATTTTTGTTTGGGAATCACAATTTCATTGCTTTAAACTACATATGTGCCTACGCACTTGCTGTATGTCTAATATTACTCACTTTTGGCACAAAGACCAAGCACAAAACCAACGTGTTAGCCACTATGATCGCCATAGATTTCACGTTGAAGTACAAGCCCCGATTCTCTGGCAAGACGGTGAGTGTTGGAATGGTGATGGCGAGGGTCAACACAACAACGTAGATTGACATGATAATAAAACGGCCTGAATAATGAAAAAACGTGATTCAGTTTAAAATAAACAGAAAATTGTGATGATGCTTCCTGTCTAAACTGTACACAATTGATGACAAAACATTCAGAATATAATGGTAGGGCTTGCCATGTTATGCGCTGTGACTCAAATTTATCTGCGGTTATACAGAACATGGAGGGCTTCGCAAATACATATCCATCTAAATGTTTAACAGCATTTGGGAACTTTTCTGTGTTAGAAGTTCAGAGAACTTATAATTTTTTTTAATGATGTGGGATGACGAGTGACTTGTCAGCTAATATATATATGAAACCATTATGATGGGTAAATTTCTTGCGGGTCAGGATAGAGATTAACGGAAAACATACTACGTTACAAGTACAACCCTTTTGTGGCGTCACTCGTATTGAACTTTTATGGCTTCGTTTTCAGAGGTTTGCGTGGAACAAAATGGTACAAAAGTAGAACTTATTACTCTAAACATTAATAGAAACATACTGTCGTTAAGCTCTGCTATGGAGATGCGTCTCATTTCCCAAGCCAGAAAACTTCCTCCCAACATGAGCAGGCCCTTGATCACGAATATCAAAGCAGTGAATACAACCTGGTGGTCCGAATTACATTCCCGGTATGTAGGTATTATGTATACCTCAGGAAATGTGTTTGACTCGTCCAGCTGTGGTTAAAAAAGGGATCTTTCGTTGAATGCAATAACTCTGAGGGTTAGGTCTCATGAGGAAAATTGTATATGTGGTGATGAAGACAATCCAAAGAATTCCTTTCATGATCCAAAACTAAGAAATAACTTAAATTACAGTTTCTGTCTTTTGATTTTTGAAAGTACTTTCAGGTTATAGATTTTTCAATTTAAGGGACAATTAGATACTACTCCGTGATATGATTGACGGTTCTGTCGTACCTTTGGTTCGAGAAGCACATTGTTCACCTGTGTTGTGTCCATTATGATCCACAGAGCAATCACGATGACGTCAACAGTTACCATGGCTGCTACACCAGCCATTAACTTAGTATCGGATATCTCCTGTCAGGAAAGTTTCATGCACGCAAAGCTTATCGAAAAGTATAGACTAGAGAGAGTGGCATTATAAGTGAAAGAACCCCATAATCCCCATGGTTAATACACATACTATCAAAAATAGGTATAAAATAGAAATTATTACAGCAAATGTCTTGGGGGAATGTATGGACATCTTTTGAAGTAACATATTTGAAGTTTTTTAATAGGCTGAAACATACAATAATCCTTCTTTATCAATTTGCCAAAACCCACTACAGAAAATACAAATTGTTAAAATTAAAGGTTTGCTTACAATACGCTTAGCGTGACGCATGGAGTTGGTCCATACCAAATGTATTCGGTATGTCTTGAGGAAGAGCGCCCCAAACGACAGAGAAATGCCTATACAAACAAGCGTTGATTCAATCTGCAAGGAAAACATATAATTTGCCTGACATTCCCAGCAAAAGTTCGTACAAAATGTTTAGAACTATTTTAGTTAACATAACAACTTCGTGAACTAGACACAAGCTAGACGTAAACCCTCCATCATCTTGTAAGACTTACTAGCTGCAATTAATTTTCTTGAAATTTTTATTCTTCTTCAGTGTACGAGAACTCTTTTCAAAAGTGCATTTTTTAAAAAACAATTAAAACTGTCCCTGCATTTCTGGACAACCGAGGGCGCTGTTGCTATGAAGTCATCTGGGGAAGACGTCGTTCAGTGCATACGCTTTTCTGTTCAAAATGTGAAACCAGAATTTACCTACTGAAAACATTTTTTTAGGAAGGGTTGATGCCTGATTATTGCAAAGCACATAAACGACAATGCATCAGCAAAGAAGAGGAAACTTTTTGGCGTACTAACCAATGTAACGTTAAAGTTACTTCCTGAGATTACGTCACTGTTTTGCTCATACGTCACTGTTACCCTTTAATGAGAGCACGCATTTCGAAATGAGTTATGCTTGGAAGGATTGTAGTTGTGATTCTAAAATTATTGATTGATAGAAATTAGTGATTTGGAGAGAAATTCTCTTCGTTACGTACAAAACAAATCGTGATGAAAGTGCCATCCTTCAGTGTTGACTTATCCAGACCGAAGACAAAGACAGAGGTGTAGAGAAGCAAACATCCGCAGATTATCATGTTATTTAGCATGGGACTAGATAGCTTGATAGCCCTGCATGGGTGAGAACGTGTTACATTTAAAAATTAAATGTGATTTCTGCAAAAGTCAAAGCGCCATTACATGCAGCTGCTCCATCTGCGTCTACTTTGATTTTTTACACTATGATTTCCTTACCATGCAATCCGTCAAAATCCATTTCAGTGTATGTTGTCTTGCTTCATATTGTTAGTTGTCATTTCAAATCAATATTCTGATGCGCATTAACCAGCTGTGCTGTCTTGGAATGCAAATCAACTGAAATTGTCCAAAATGAACACCTACCTTTTCTTCCTGTATCGAACGTTGATTGCCCAAAAGAACAGTGCAAGTACAGTGCCAATAGCGCAAAGGATATAGCAGATTATTTTGCTGATAAAGGGTACAGTGACTCTTTCTTTGATCTTGGTTATGCCGTCTACAGGAATCTCATTACCTGTCATACATTTAAATGGGATCGATTAGTTTACAATTTTTCACCCCTTTCAAATGAGCTAGCTCTTCGACATCATACAGTAATTGAAAAGTGTCGTATTTATTACAGATCTCGTTAAAGTGATCAATCAATTGATTTGTTACGCCTTAATTTCACGCCGCTTTGCTCTTTTAATTAAATATTTCATTTCAGTCAGCACATCAGCCTTTACTGTTTGATATTAAAGTGCTCCGAATCTGGATGTATTACTGTACTGTCTCGAACTCCCAAATAATTACTAATACAAGGCTCTTGCACTATTCCATAATTTTGTTAAGCTGTAAGTTTGATGGTGATTGCTGTCCTTTTTTCATTCCGTAGCTCCCTATTTCACAAGTCTTATTAAAAAGTATGCCTTGTTTAACTCAATGAAAAAAAACACACATTTTGTCCGAGTGCCAAAGTCTTTAATTTATTATCAATATCACCTCTGTGTTAGTCTACTGTTACCTACCTGACCACATGAACGTTTGTCCCTGCAGAAGAGACACTGATTTCTTTTCAATCTCGTACTTTGCGACCTTAACGTACGATGTATTACCTGCATGGGATATTTATACATATTGTTTTTTAAGTCGTAAGTACGTGCATGCATATACATACATTTGTACTACTAAACTTAAAGTTAGTACATACGGCGATCCATGAGTTCCATGTCAAACTTGCACACTCCTTTAAAGAATTTGAAAAACGATAGGCACATATCTCACGAACAAACTGAAACCCGATGTTAGTGTTCTGCAGAGCAATATATAATTAGATTTCAATACCCAAAAAGGCAGGAAAGAACTTTTCACCTTGGTTCTGTTCCATAAAGACGTACTCGGTAAAGTCCCTTGCTTTATCTTCCCCAATTACCAGGTGATCCTGTTCCAGGAAGACAGTGGTAAAGAAGAGCGATTTTTTAATATGTACAAAATAAAGAAGAATGGTTGAGTTTTAATTCAGTATGCGATAAATGCAAAGTACCGCGAGAATAAACGTAATGAATGCCCTTTAAAAGAGAAATTTGCCGGAGTTTGCAGCGACGGTACATTACGATTCAACCTGGTATTTCTAAAGTGTTCACAAGGGACTAAGAAAGCTTGTTAATTTGAAATAACTACCCTATTGATCTTAAATTATGGATCCTTACTCTGTGGTTAGATTTCCTGCCCTAAAAATACCAATTAACTTACCGTTACCCCGTAAACATCGATCGCCTTGGCGTTCCGTAGAAGAATATTTGAAACCTCTCTATCGCTGAGACCAAACTCCTCAAGTCGCCTTGGTGGGACCAGATCTTCCAAGTCCGCAATAGATGAGTTAAGTGTTAAAGCAATAACGAAAAGGGCGTCGTATGCATAGGCTAGTGTTGCCCAGTTATTGTCAATGAGGCTCTGGGAACGTAGCCACTCGAGGAATTTTCGTTGCTGAGGATCAATCTGGGGTTTCTGCATAGTAAACAAGGATTACTTTCAAGGTTCCTTTTTTCGAAAAACTTCATTCCAGATCACCAACCCAAAAACCACGGAATAATTTTACTGATGGAATATGAGGAAAAGCACAATGTTCAAAACACATTTGCTGTGATACTAGGCTTGCTAAAGTAATCACCTTTTACTTTCGTACAGAAAACACACACTAGGTAAATTGTGTATGATTACATGTACAAACTGAATCGAATAAAACATTTGGGCCTCTTCTAAGATATAACGAGTGGGGGTGTTAAATTTTAATTTTCTTTAATTTCATTTACCAAAAAAAAGAAGATAACTTTGCTTGTAAAGGGGGACACCGGTGGAGTCTTGGTAAATGAGAGAAAATAAATTTATTACTGTAGAGAGAAAGTTCTGAGAAGTCAGTAAGAATCTAAGTCTTTTTTCTTGCGCTGTTTTAGCTCAAATTTTCTCGGTCAGATTATGCTGGTGTTATGCAACACGTCCTCACCCCATTTTTGCATCTTTTTTTAGACAATGTGTAGTTTAGCTGACCGAATACAACATTTAACAACCTTTTAAAATAATACCATTTGCTGGTGCTCAAGAACATCCCTTCTGTAAGAAGTTATGTAAGAATAGAATACCCACCAATCCGTAATAATCTATTCGATCTATATTGTCGATTATCTGGACTCCGCTAACAAGGATGTGGTAGAGAATCAACTTCTCTAGTTGTTCGGCAGAACATCCGTGAGTGTTTACTGAGGCTGTTGTCCACCATCCTGCTGCGTACCAGCCAGGAATGATCCACACGTACCTGGGTCCTTCTAAGCCGTTGTTATAGATCTATATGTATACAAATTCCATCTTATTTAAAGCTATAAAAATAATAAGTAGTAAAAAAGCAGGAAAAATAATGTGAAATTTCAATTCAATCTGACATAGGAGTTGATTTTTGGTCATTTGGAGTTCATGAGCCCACTCGTCTTGGCCTGCCTTCCTGGCTCGCATAAGTAGGAAAAGTACGTGTTGTTTGGCTGACTTTTTTGGAAAATGCGCGTCGCGTTGTTCGTGAACGGCAAGTCCGATTTTTACAAGATTTTTACAAAAATCCTTAAGGGTTGGTGCGTGAAAAAATGCGCTTCGGCAATATTAAAGAAAGTGGTGTGGGGTGGCTTTTTATAATCAACTCTTTTGACTCAAAACTTCGCAATCGATAAAAACATGAAAAACTAAAAATAATTCTTAACGTAACGTGATAAACAGATCAATTTCCATGGAGAAGTGTTGAGCCCTACATATCGTAAACGTTACTAATACCGCAGGCTCTGAATAATGCACAAAGTACATCAGCGAACGTGTCACCTGACGATGATTTAAATGCCATGGACGGTGTACTGGATGAACCTAGATGGGTTTTGTCGTACAAATGCCTATAACATGTTTACAGACAATTCTCTTTTAGAAGGTTTTTTGGACACTTAATTAGAACTTATTTGGCCGGGGGAGAGATGTTTCAAAGCTACGGCCTATCTGATTGGCCAGCCATTCAGCGGTCAGCTACTCACAGTGCTTGTTGCACGGCTTTCTGCCTCTTTTTCTCGTTGTCTTCGCCCAGCTAGGTTGCTCAAAAAATTCCCTCCCACCCTCCACTGCCAAACACCTTGTAGCACCTTGTTACGTTTGTTAATGAAGCTGAATTTTACAAGGGTTGGGCGTTTATATGACAGCATATGCCATATGACAGCATCATCTCGGGCAAAAAACGAGGAGCCACATCACAACATAAACCACCATTGCTTGATTCATAGTACGTTATTTTTGAGTTACATCGGTTACCTGGCAGAAGACATACTTTGCCGCCTCCGGATAGAAGCCCATGAAGAAAATTCTAGCATCATGCCCCTATAATTAAGCAAATAAGGCCGTGTCCGAACCACTTGGCCGTGGCTTGAAATTACACACAACTCTATGGGAACTTGCCGCTGCTACTACCGTAGACTTGTGCGTAACGTTAGGCCACAGTTACGTAATTCGGACACAGCCTAACAATAATTTCAGCTTTATAGATTATCTTTACAGATTGCAAAATGAGTGTTTCTGATATTGAGTTAGGCATGGCTTCAGCGATAAACTTCCACGCTGCAATACGAATAGCATATTCTAAGACTCAGGTCAAAGGGCTATTCTTTCAATCTGCTTGATGCCAAGTAAATATACAAAAGGCCCGCGCGTAAGATTTTCTTTGTAAATCCTGCTCGGAGTATTTGGTAAACCCGAGTTCTTTTGCTTGGTTTAGCAGTCTTTTCATCCATACTGTTAGGCAAAACGGGCCACATGTATGTTTGACGACAAGGGTCGCTCTTTAAGTGATTGATGATTTGCCCGTACAAAGCACACTGGACTAAAGGTGTTGTGAGTGCAATTCGGCCTTGAAAATCATTCGTACATCAGTACTAAATTTTATACGTGGCTTTTTTTCTCTGCGTAAAAGTGTATCTCCCTGGTGCAACCTTGTGCTATTATTTCTGTTCTTGAAGCTTACTAAGCTATGCCTCTTTCATGCATGAATCGAATGAAATTACATTAGTCACATTAGTGGTCATCGGTAGATGACTAATTTGTACTCCTGGGATTTTTTCAAAATTTTGTCAATAGAGAATACTTAAAGAAAAGCACAATCGCAAACCTTTTCTGATGTGAACCTTAAACCTTCCCCACGAAAGAATGGAAGTCCGTGGAATCATTCAGCTATTCCACAGAATTTAATCCAGGCTCTAATATATCAAGTTTTAAAAGATTTATTGTAAGGGATCGATAATGACTGGCTCGAAGACGCGGACTGATCGATATAAATTGAAACAGATAGTTGAACAGATTTTCAAATTTTAAACAGTAACCAAAAACGACAAACAATTAACCTAATGATACCTTTAAACTTTTGATTTGTTCCCGTGACTGTGTGACATCATGCACTGTCTCCATAGCAACTACGCTGATGCCAGAGGCGCGTAATAGCTCTGCAAGATCATCGAAATGCTGTCGTATCACAGAACAAGGGAAAAAACAGTCGGATTTTAGCCAGAAGTGAAAGATGCCTATATTTAAAAAATCGGTACATCCACAAACCCTAAATAAAATTCTGCGAACTTAGATTCGGACTCTTTTCTTCTCGAGGGATGTTATAAACATTTCTGATCCAAAAAGTGTATTTTTTAATGAAATTTTGTACACCAAGAAGATTAGCACAGAAGCTTGCAATAAAAGTTGACAGATTCCTTATACAAAACGTCTCTTTTCATCTGTACCTGTCTAAAACTGGTCTCTTCGAAAATAAGGCCACATCTTGTCCAGTTCATTTTTTTCATCAAAGCCACTCGAGCTGGGTTGACTTCATTCTCTTCTTCCCAGATCCGTATAGTTAGTGGGTAACGTTTCTGAAGTCCCAGAGTTGGTGAATTGGCAAGACCAAGCTGTAAAAAGAATCTAGATTAGTATTGCGCCGCTATGCCTACATCATCACTGGAAATACGGTCCACTTCGCAAGATGAGGCTCTGGGAAGGTTACTCAAGCTGCAAAGTTATGTCACCCCTGAACAGTTTTAATGTAATCATTAATCTTTTCAATGATAATCAGGTTAAGCCTCCACAAAGTGTTTTTTTTTTATAATTGCAGAACTGTTTGACTACAGTAGAAAAAGGGAGGTGTTACATTTCAGTGTTTAATTTTCTCCGTTGTCATATTCGTTATATTTTTCCTTTATTTAGAAAGTATCTTCAGGGAACTGTCTCATTCTGAATTGTTTGCAAATGATCGATCATAAGGGAATATTGGTAAAATGATCTTATGATATACTTTGTGTGAAATTGGACTATAATTGATACATTTAGTAACATGTGCAAACACAATAATTCTCTTTATGGTATCATTGTTTTAAAATATGCTGTTCACCTATTTTGACGTCTTATTCACAAAGTGGCCATTTTGTCTAAAATAAGGTTAGGTCAGCTGTCTTTTGGCCATGTGGTGTCCTGAAACTTTGTGTAAAAGTGTAAGAATTCAAAAATTGTGGTAGAATAAACGTTGTGAAGAAGTGACATTTCGTGATTCGATAATTAGAAATTTAGACAATGCTTGTTGGGGGCTTTTCCTTCAGTAGCGCATTTGGATGCGAAATTTTTTTCTGCGTTGACATGTTTGCATGGTAAATAATTGTGCTGGGAATCTGTTATAAAAACAACTGTACCAGATTGGGTAGAACATACCAATAATTTTTGCAGTACTTGATTTTGTGCCATAAAATGCAGAGGAACATGTTTAGGTTTTCAAAGACCACGCACTGAAAATGACCTCTCGTACTATACTGTGACATATGCAAGATCACCTCCGGGAGATTTGTTGTTCGTGTTGATTATTTTTACCAGTAAAGAACTCTTTGGATGTCAACATATTTTAGGAGATGTCACATATTCAATAGTAAGGGCCCTATAACTTTGCTAACCTAACACCCGGACGTCACATAAAACTATAGGCTCTCATGCTCTTATTTAGCCCACATGGGCCACTTATGCCATCGGCGGCCATGCTACCGTGTCGATACAAGGCTGCTTGCTTGCAAGTCATCGGTAGCCAAATGGTTCGTTACAACAATAGTTAGGCCTGCAACGGCATGCGCGGCAACAGTCGCCATCCTATTCCGCACGATAAGATGGCCGCTGGTGATTTCAGTCGAGAGAAAATTATTGCGAGTTCTGACTTTTTAAACGTCCGCGTGACTAAAATGGGTAGCGTATAACTTTAATTCGATGTCACATTCATTCAAAGGAGCATAAATGAATGGTGTCCATAAGAAGTCGTTTCATCTCTGATACACGTAGACCATGAAGTCATGGACGTCACTCGGTAGGGGAGGGGTTACATGTCCTCCCCTTCCACTTTATGAAGGGGGTATCGTATCATTTGTCCCCTCCACTTTTTTCCCCATCCTAAATAAACCTTTGCTAAAGTGGTCAAAATTGTCCCAGATCGCACCACCAAACATTTAGGACCCCAATTACCTGGGGGCCTAGGGTTTCGCATATCGCGCTTGCATTAGTTCTAATAAAAGGTTAAACTATTCATAATATAGTAGCAGCAGAATATACAAAAAAGAAAACATTTTAAGAAAACAAAGAACACGGTGAATGAATTCCGATTTGCATATAACTTGACTATTCAATCAAAAAGGATTTCAAGTCCCAATTGTCCCTCAGTCAGTTTTTGTGAGCAATATTCTTCCATATTGGCACAATGATTAGTTTTCTCACAGTATACTGCAGTATACAGTGACACAAAATTTAACACAGGACACGGGGAAAGATATCCATTGCAATGTAAATTTTAAACCCCACATTAATCTGTACAATTGCAACAATACGACGGTGCATCGGACCTTTAACAATATGGGCGACATTATGTTTGCAGCTTAAAAACAGTAATTACCTGCCATCGAAACTGCCTAATAATGTGAGAAAATGCCTTCACTTTCTTTTGGGCACACCGTGCACAAAGGAAAGTAGTCTTGTGTGCCAGTCTTGTAGCTACAGTTATATTGTAGACTTTATACGGGGAGTGATAAACAAGCACCAAGAGGAAAATGCTGTATGGTTCAAATGGAGGTTTAAAATTCCTATGCAGACACACCCAGAAGCATACACCATTACGTGTGATCAACATCGACAGTGAAAACCGTCTTTGTCACGCACCATGCATAGTGGCCGACCTGTGAGGCTGTCATAAACATTGTTCAACATTTATTTAGTAAAGGTCGAGCATTGATTATGGTACCAACCCACCTCACGTACATGAACATTATTCTACATACGCACACGAAACAAAAGGTATAGGTATACAGGTACAAAAACTAGTATCTGGGTGTGGTATCCATTTCTTTGTAAAACACGGTCTGGAACTAGAGCGAAATGTATTTAGATTGGAGCTCCAACTGCAAAGTACCCGTGTTAGAAATAATAACGTTATGTTCAAATCCTAAGTGGAAGCGAACGTGTTCAGAAATGGTCCGGTGTTTGAGGTTATTTGCCACTTGGTAAAATCAGCATTCAGCGTCCGAGCATTTTTACGAAATATCGAATCACAAAAGTATTGCGAATTTGCTGGCCTTTAAATGTTGCATATTAAGCCATTTCAAAAATATTATGCCATCATTTAAAAAACAGTATAAATAGACTTCGTAAAAACATTAATATAAAAGATAAAACTAAAGCGATAGCTTTCAAATTGCTAGGACCCGATAGTATGATGCAACAAGAATGTATTTTGAATTCGATTGAAAAAAATATTATTCAGTAAAACATGTGATTGAAAGATTAGGAATTTAATGAAATTGTTCATGTTTTTATAAAAAAACCAGAACAGACCCAAGGGTTCGGACCAATCGATACAGGAAAGATTACCATAGCATTTCAGCTGACCGGTTTAGGCGGCCTTAACCGGAAAGCATCTCTACGTGTTGTTTAGACCAACTGCACATTTCTTTGGTTTGGGAGACCCTGAATTTATATCGGTGTATGGCAAATACACACGTGTACAATCCCTCCAGAAGTTTAAAACAATAAAATAATGTTAATAGCGTATTTGTTGGAAGTATATCAAATGATGCATCCTATATATAAAACGATTAATAGCCATACCGCGTGGGTGACAGAAAAAGTATGCGTGAGGATTTGGAAGAGCTGAGGATGGGATCAATTGCTTTGATATTATATCAAGTCATGCGGGTCTACAAAAGTAATAAAATTTGCATATATTGCTTCAAATGTCTGCTCTAATTGCACCCACCGTGAATCAATCAAATATGATTCACCTGGTGACAGCCAAGGTCAAAGTTAACCTTACTTGAGAGAAGTGCACCGATTTATTCCCCAAATGAGCGTTTGATTGACCAGTGGCAATGGCAATTTAGCAATTTTCTAATATAGCGCTGGAAGTGAGGAATTCAATAACCGAGCGGTCCCAGAGACGGTCCAATGCGGAGGCCAGGTGGGAGATTGATGAGTTCGCTCTGACTGTAGTCAATAGGGCATGATGCTGAGTTTCAAGACTGAACCTCCTCCTTTCAAAATGTCAAGGTTTGGCCATTGTTAAATCACATAGATGGAGACGTTTGCTATAATCACTTTGGCTTTCAATCTTCAACTAGAACCATGTACCCCGATTACTCAGGTTATACTGTCATAGTAATTTACATGGTTAGATTCAAGGTTTTTGCATACGTGATAATTGACAAATTCCGAATGTGTGTCTGTTTTGCTGCTTGTGTTATTGCTTGTGCTGAAATCAGTTCCCTTGTTTGTTCTCAAATCAATTTCATTCCTGTAATGTTTGGAAGGAATACGGAGAGTTGCTACAAATGTCATATGTTTCTACACCTTTACACCATCTCCGTGTAACGTCATAATTAAGCTTTACATGTGCACTTTTAAACATTTTGCACTTTTTTCTTAGTAAAATGAATTCTCCTTGAACTTATCTCTATGAGAGCATAGTGCACAATAATACCTTTCAAGACGCTTTCTTGAAAGACGTTGTTGTAATCAGCGAAAATGTCTTATATTATTTTCTATATCACATTTGGTTTAAGAGTATTTTTGTGTGGGAAACCAAAATATCAGCGGTTCATGGGTTGATTTTGTTTCATCGGGCACATTTTCTGAAACACACACACAAAAAACACTTCTGGTATTGACTGTATCCATGTGTTAGCACTCTGGAATTGAGAGTCAAAACGTTTCATTTTGGGAAGATGAGAGTTAAAATAGCAGTGACAAAATAAAAATTCAAAACTTATTCTAAAGTTTTTCTTTAGAATAATGTTAAATTTGAAATGAATTATGTCTAAATGTTTAATGTCACGTAAAAATAAAAGAGGTTTGGAACACCATTTAACACAATATTGAATATGATAGATTCAGGGAACAAAATGAAATGGCTTCCTTGTGAATAATGTCAATTGCCACCCAAAGGCGTCAGAATTATTCATTTCTTTTCCTCGTCTCTCATGCCAAATACATTTTGACCTCGTAATTAATTTTCCTCGTAACGGAATATTGTAGTAAACCGTTCTCTTGTACATTTTAATATTTTTTTGAAAAAGGATTGTGCATCGTGGTTAACATGGTCGTCAAAAGAGCGTTTGAAGAATGTTGAATCTTAGTTATGCAAGATTGGCTGATTTAAATCGCCTTCAAAACACTGATTGAAATTGCCATTTATATTTAATTTTGATTTATGGAAATCTCATATTAAAATCAACTTTTCTAAAATTTTTGTTAAACTTATTTTTAATTTCATTCCGATACGGCACATTGCAAATGGCGAATAAACTGCTGTAA